CTGAAATTTCATAACCGACAGTATGTAGGAAGTCATTATCTGAAGCAGTAAGGAGCTCCATGGTGCTATTTTAATTATGCATTGCAGGGAAGCTGTGATTGTGTCCTTGCCAGTATTTTATTAGAATGTCAATTCAATTGAATTACATCCTGCAGGAAAGATTAGCATGGATTTTCACATGGATGTGTGAAAGTGTTGCTGTGCCCAGGCCAACTTTTAAAAGTTGTGTGCTAATGAGAGCGAAAATGGAAAGAGAAGTGTGAGATTCTCAATCCAGGAATCCAGCAGTCGCTCTCTTTCCCTTCCCCTGGAACTCTGCTTCAGTTGTAGACTGTGCAAGTTAAACAGAGCCTACAGGAGGAGGTGCTACATGCGCATCAGGCAAGGGGCAAAAGGAGTCGGCATATGCAACAGGGAGGGAGGTTGCCGGGGTATGGACCACATAGCAAGTCTGGGCTCCTTGACAGCATAAGAGTGTCTTGAAGGGCTAGAGAGAAGAGGAGGAGGGCAGAGAAGAGGAAGGAGGGGTAATGGAGCAGGAAAGAAAGGAGAGGGGAGAGAAACACAGAGACAAACATCAAGCCATACAGAACAGCAGTATATTTGTATTCTTTTTTAACCTTCCTTATAAGGAATGTTCATATTGGAACATCCGAGTTTCCCTAAGGAATGGTGGGGGAAGCTCGACACATTTGGCCATCAGGTTAGCAGAACAAAATCCTAGGTCTCCCTGGGATGGCACCAGCACCCTGTTTTTGTTGTCGCTGCTGTTATCATGACAGCATCTAGACAGTGCCAGCTGCATCATCTTCTATGCTGTCTTCTCTCTCCTTCTCCCTTTCTCTCCCTCTCCCTGCCTCCCGTCTCTTCTCTCCTTGCCCTCCTACCCCTCTTGTGCCTCCCTTCTTTCAATCAAGATCTTAACCACCATCCCCCGGGAACATATGGGTAACACTAGTAAAGTTAGGAATAGGGAAGGAGGTGTCTACAAGGAGCTGAGGGAAAGTGGATGTCATTGTGGTTTCAATGCATCGTATAATTGCAAGACATTAGCAAAGAATTGAAGATAAGTAAGGAAATAAATTTAAAAAAAACTAGAAGAACTCTTTCAGGAAATTCCATCCAAATCAACTCTCTCCTTAGCAGTCACTGAGAATGGAGGTGGCCAGCCTGTCCTGCCATGGAGATTAGAAGTCATAGCCACAAGCTGTCCCCAGACACATTCTAGACTGTACTCTCCCAGCACAGGAAAAGCAGTGAGGTAGATGCCTGGCACCCTGCTGCATTGGGTGCTGTGGGTGAGAGATGTTGGCCAAAGAAAGAGAAATATCTACTTCCACTCCCAAACTACCACCCAACCCCGCCTGTTTTTTCCCTGGCTCAGCAACAGGAAATGGGGGCCCAACTGAAGCCTCAAGCATTGGTGATGCCTTCATGTACTGGGCGTTCAAAGGGCTGGTAACCCTTAAATTGATGGATGCAGGGGTGTGGTTGTTCTTGAAAGCCGGGCAGATGCTGACAGGTGAGATTAGCCTTCTGGACATCAAAAGTCTCCGGTGCCAGTGGAGGGGACACAGGCATCCAGAGAGAGTCTCAGCACAGCCTTGCTGACTGTTTTCTAACTCTCCAAGTCACTTCCCGACTCCCCTGTTCCTGAAAGTCTGTGTCCCCTAAGCCCACATCGGAGGGAGATTTTCTTGGAACCCCCTCTTCTTGTGCTCTGTATTCCAAAGACCCCGAGTCCCCCAGGGTTCCTCTAATCCCACTTCTTCTCCCTTTGCCTCATCTACAGCCAGGCTGGAAGCCAAGAGAGCTGTGCCCCCGCCCCTGTCTTCCCTATCTCCCACTAGAACGGGTCTCCACCTTTCCGTAGCTCTGAACTCCTAGGTACCCTTATGCTTTCCCCTTGGCCTTAAATCTAGATCCCCGATGATCTCTTCTGGCCCAATTGGAACCCCCAACCCTCCCTCCGCGCCAGTCAGGCCGCTCCAGCCCCTGGTCCAGTCGGCGCCGCCCGCGGCCCGCCCTTCCTGCGCCGGGTCACCCCAGGACAGCGGGCTCCCCTCCTCCTGGCAGAGGCGGGTGCCAGGGCCAGGCCTCCGAAGTACCCGCCTTTACAGACCCTGGGCTGCAGCGAACTTCCTGCACCGACCCTCAAGGCGCCCTGCAGAGGAAACCGCTGCCAATACCACTACCCCATGGATCCAGGGATGCCCCAGATCCATGCTGCCACAGCCCTGCAGTCTCTGAGCACCGCCGCCTCTGCGGACCTGCAGCCCTGCGAAGTCCCCCAGCCCTGAAGCCCACCACCACCTTGTAGCAGTATTGCAGCCCTGTGGCCACCTCCAATCTGGTTTGGCTTGACAATAGTGAATGCAGTCCTGATCTGCTCCTAGTCCCAAAGAGACCACCACCCACCAAACTCACCCAATGCTCTCCAGTCCTATGTCACTCATGCGCAAAAGTAACCAGATCTCAGCGTAGAACACAATTACTTTTGGTTTTTACTAGGTGACATAGGTGGAATCTAGAGTATGCTCATTATTGGTTTGTTTGTTTGTTTGTAAGGACATCTTTCACTAATACTAGTCATTGATGAGGAAGCCTGTCCTAAGACAACACCCCCAGAGCCTAAGGACAGGTCACTGAAAGATCAAGGGGGTCTGTGGCAGTCCACACCACCACCCTCTAGGTACTGGGACTAAGACTTCAATTGCCACAGCACCCCCTGCAGAGGGTTTAAATAGCTCCAGCTGGCACCCCAAGAGAGTTAGCACAGTGATCTAAAGCCAGAAAATAATTGGGGGAAGTTTAGATACAACTGCAGAATTGTAGAACTTTGAAACCTGGCTTCTCAGATCAAGTTTTCCTATAAACAGACCCTGTGATTAAGATTCCTTTTGGCTGGGCAAGGTGATAATCACAGCTTCTGTGAGGCTGAAACTAGAGGAAAATGGGTCTGAAACCAGCTTTGGGTATACAGCACATCTGACCTATGTGGGCTAAATAGAACCAATCTCAAAATTAACTAATAAATTAAAGAAAACCCATGCAGGAGACAGAGAAAAATGAGCAAGGGCATACATGCTGGCACTGGAGAATGGTTTGGTTTCTTCCACAAAGAACATAAATGAGGCCATAAAATTGATCTCATTTTGAAGGACTGGGGGAAGTTTTCAAACCCACTGTGCGTCATTCAAGTTAGTTCCTGGGAGGAAGGCTTCTCTATACAGCCATAGCGCTTAACACACAATATCCAGCAGCACCTAGGATACCAAATATCAATTCACCTGGGATATCTAAGTCAGCCAGAATACTCCACTCCAGAACACCACAATCTCTCTAATGAATGCGGCCCTCAAATTTATCTGAGACTCTTTCAAGTACAAACAGAGTCTCCTGCAGGGCTAGTTGAAGCTCAGATGTCTTGGCCCTACCCCAGTGCTGAGATTGCGGTAGGGCTTGCCTTCTTGTTCATTATGGACTTCCCTTTGAGACTGACTGTCCCGCAGCATCATTTCTGGGCATTTTACCATTTCCCAGGTGACACTCAAGCTACACGTGCATATCTGTATCAGATCTCTCATTTTAATGAAGTTTTCCATGCCTCATGTCACCATGAATATGTAGCTGAGTGAGAATCTGTGCTAGATGGCTTGGGTGTGCTCATCTTCATGATATCTCTTGGAGACCCCCAAGGACCCTACCCAACCAAAATGAAGATTAGGAATCCCAAATACTTAAAGAAAAAAACAGAAGAAGAATATTGGAGTAGCATGTGTTTTTCCCACTGCTAGCTGCAGACCCTGCTGTGTCTCATATGTGCGCTCCATCCCTACTGTGCTGAACAGCCAAGAGAGGTGCATGTCACACCTATTCACAGGAGCTGTTTTGACCCAATTCCTTCCCAACTAGCATTTGAGATGCACCGAACTAGGAATGGTGAGAGGTTTTCATGTTTTCCTTCATGACTCAAAATAGTCCATGAGATCAGACAAAAACACTTTTAGAGCTGAGTGTTGGTGTGCTAGTGCACACCTCTAATCTCAGCACTCAGGAGGCCAGGCAGGAGAATCTTGAGTTCAAGGCAAGCCTGAGCTGTATAGCATGACTATACCATGCATTAATTGATGGCTAACCTAGCCACATCTGATCTCAAAGTCTCAGCTGTTTCTACCACCATAGTCGACAGTCTGTAAACTGTAATGCTCCTTGGATATCACAGTTCACAAATGTCTGTATCTCAGGATGGCAGGTTCTTAGATGGTACCCACACACAGCATTTTGTGCTGTAAATGATATCCACAGGTAACCTCTGGCTCTGTAGATAGTACCTACATGTAACATCTAGTTCTATAGAGGTACCTATCTGTAGGAGCATTAGGATAGAACTGTTACAGAAAAGTGTTGTTTCTAATTTATTTAAATATAGCAATAACAAACTGGTACATGTATATATTCATACTAAAATAGTTGTTTTCCAAGACAAAAAATTCTTTTGCCAAAAATAATACATTGTTTGCCTTTAAAACAATTTTGGCAGACTGCTTCAATGCCTTGTTTAAAACTAAGATAGTTGTAGTCTTGTAACTGCCCCTTCATGAAATATGCCTAAATCTAGGTCTCAGTATAACAAGGAAGTCCAGCTACACTGAGATTAAATTCAACCAGGAGCTTGAAAAAATGAAAACTAGCCATTGCATAGCAGTGAGAAAAGTTCCTGTTGTTTGGGTATTTTATCTTCTCTCACATAAAACTCTTGGAAGTTTGAGAATGAAGGCTCTCTTTCATAAAACTCTAAATCTGTCTACTTTGTGGCTACTTCTGAGGCACACCCCAAGATTCTCCAATATGGTTGTGTTAGCTCTGGTTGTATAGAAATGTCCCAGCCAATAGGAAGAAAAAAATGAAAGCTAAGGGACAAAGCATAAGAGAATATCCCAAGAGTAGCCATATAACCATGGCTGTTTATGCTCAATGCCCAAAGAAGATGCAATTAATGCTGGGAAACATCGTCTTTATTGAAGACCACCATTTGTCATGCTAGAAAGTCTGGAATATGACGTGTCTAGGACACGCTCATATGTTAAGTGATTGTTGGCTGACTGGAGGTTTTGGAAACTAAGATGTGGGACCTAACTGTAGGAAGCAATTCACTGCAGTGGGTTCCTGTCTACAACCTCTTCTGCTTTTCTTCTATTCTGAGGTAGAAACTCTCTCTGACTTGGGCTCATTTTTTCCACCAGGATTTTTTTCTCAAACACATGGAGCCCAAAGTCCATGAATTGAACCTCCAAGACTGTGTATCAAATAAATTCTTGTTTCTTTGTTTCCGGCAGGTATTTTGTCACTGTAACAAGAGAGAGCCAAGTCACAGGGCCAATATTATAAAGTCTTGACATTTCATCCAAAGAAATTAATTCATTAAATTTTAATTTAGTCTCTGAAAGTTCCCAGGTCATGGTCAGAAAAGAGCCAGATTCTTGGCCAAGATATTGCATGGATGGTCCCTAGTTCAGTTGCTGTTGAGTCCTTGCTTCCCTCTGGAACCCTCTTGAGCTGGGCATCTACAGCCAGCTGTGCTCTCACCACTGCTGTTTTCCGTGTTTCTGCTAGAATGGCTTACAAAGCTCTGCTCACAGCATTCAATCCTGCAGGGGATGTTTCTTACTTGAACTGTTATTGAGTGCAAAACAGGTTGCTGATGGGGAAGTCCTTCTGTATATATGCTTCCCTTATTGGATGATGAATAAAACACACTGTCTGGTCAATGAGGCAGGAAGATAGGTAGGACTAGGAGAAGAAGAGAATTCTGGGAAATGTAGGCAGACAAAGTCTTCATATAGAGCCTGGGAAGAGAAGACTTACCAGGTGTTCTTCAGTAAGTTAAGACCACATGGAAAAACATAGATTAATAGAAATGGGTTAATAAGTATGACAGAGCTAGCCAATAAGACACCCTAGCTACCAGCCAACTATCTTATAACTAATATAGTGTTCTTGTGTTCATTTGGGGCTGTAGAGTGGTGGGACCAGCCGGGACAAAGAGCCTCTAATTACATGTTGCTATTTTATTGCAAGTTACCCAGCTTTGACTTTTGCCAACTGTTCTCTTTCTAAATCCATATAGCGCTGGGGGCAAGGTACCAAAAGATACTTTTGATTCTAGCTCCAGTTTTCTGTTAAATGAATAGAATCAATATTAAGATACTGTGATAGTTTCCATTTCATAAGCTTTCCAGATATCACCGACTACAATGGGATAACTCCTAAATGCATGAATGAAGTAGGACTCTATTTGTTTCCATCAATAAATAGCTAATTCTGTTAAGAACTTCTTAACAATATTTGTAGTAGTTTGAATAGGTGTGGCCCCCATAGACTCCTGTATTTGAATGTGTGGTCCATGGGGAGTGGCACTATTAAGAGCTGTGACCTGTTGGAGTAGATGTGGCCTCATTGACGTAAATGTATCGCCATGGAGGTGGACTTTCATATATTATGCTCAAGCTATGCCCAGTGCACAGTTTTTCCTTGTTGCCTACAGATCAACACCTCCCCTAGCACCATGTCTGGCCTGCATGCCACCATGTCCTACTATGACGATAATGAACTATACCTCTAAAATTGTAAGCCAGCCTCAATTAAATATTTTCCCTTATAAAAGTGTTGTGGTCATGGTGTCTCTTCACGGCAATAGGAACCCTAATTAAGACAATATTAAAAAGATGACTTCAAATATACAAGTTTTAGGGTACCATTGATTAAATCATCATCATGTTGCCAACTAAATTAATTTAGGTAGCAGACGTAGAAAACAAGGTGACTTGGGGGTTATCTTTTTTCCTCCAATATGGACAACCTAAGGAACCAAGCAATATGTTGTGGTCTCTGTAATCCATAATGTGGTACCAGTGTTGGTTACTGAACAGGAGACTCCTGAGTGCAAAGTCAGCCTGGGCTGCACAGTGAGAGCCTGTTTCAAAACCTACTTTGGGGTAATGAGTTCAACTTGCTTGTTCAGGAGCAGGCAGAGATTAGAAACTTGACTCACTCTAGTTTTCCCATTGCCCAGAGATTTCAATAAGGCGGATGACTGTCTCTCGCAGCCCATAATAATGCACCTAAATTCTGATCTACAAATATGCTGCCAGTCGTGTGCTTTTTTGAGGACTTTAGATTGAAAACCTGCAGCTGTGTTTGTGCAGTAATTTAGGAGCCCTATTTCATATGCAAGGGACCGGGCTCCACGGCTCAATCATAATTCATTCATTTTTCTTTTCTCTCTTCTTTTTCTCATCTTTCTTTCTTTCTTCCTTTCTTGTACCAGGGAAATAAAATCTAAGAAATATACGGCATTATGATCAGCTCTTAAAAAAACAGGAGATTGAAAATAAAAGTCCCACAAAACTCACAAATGCTTTTCATTTTTCATTAAATAAAGCTCAGGGTCAAAATTCCAGATATATGTTGTTAAAGAATGTTTAGTAAATGTTAATTAAGAAAGTATAAGATCATCATAAAAGGAATTATAATACCAAGTAAGTACCTTACCTTGAAGACCATGGATCTTAGTAGAAAATGTGTAGAATCACAGACTCGGTGTTTGTGTGTGTGTGTGTGTGTGTGTGTGTGTGTGTGTGTGTGTGTGTGTGTGTGTATACGTGTGAACACACGTGTATGCATGTTATGAAGAGTCTCATGATGGACTGGACTGAGATTGTTTGTATTTATAAAGAAAGTTCTGGAACATTTGTCCTTGGGGTGCCTATAATGATACTATGTTTCACAGAGCAATAATTTCTAAAGTATTAGTTTACTTTAAGTTCTAAGGTGACCTAAGAAAAAGTATTTTCAGCTCATTGTCATAGTCATGAGCCACATTATGAAATGTGTGTAAGAACTTGCATTTGTAAAGTTGGACTACTTATTATTCTCATAGGGCTTAAAAGAGACCTAAAATTTAAATTCAAAATTCCTAACAATATTTTATTGTTTTTATAGACCTGTGCTTTTCCCATACTATTTTTGCTTTTTGAATATGTGTGTGCATGCATGTGCGTGTGTGTGCGCGTATATGTGATGTGATGGGAGTTGTATCAACTTGTGAGGGAAATTACTTACTCTGAAATAGTCACACATGTTTTTAAAGGCACTATGCAAGCAGAACTTTTATAATTAAACTGGGACATAGCATGGCTCTCTCCAGTTTACTCTCCCACTGCCTTTCAGACGTATGCTGATGGCAATTTAAGGCTTCTGCTAGAAATAACTAATTTGAGCTGACTTTTCAAGAGTGCACACAAGCACAATTCATGCAACTTACAGTTTTCCTGCAACTGCCCCTGAAGATGCTCCTCTCCTTTGTCTTCTGCATGCTTTGGAGAGATCAGTACCCCTCTCCTGCATCCAAATCTGTAATCAGAAATTTCATCGCCACTAAATTGTCAATGGTCACTGTAAGCCCAGGTTCTAGAGATAATGATGGAAGACCTGGGGGCTGGGCAGCTGAACACCAGGGAGTGAGAAAATAGGTGGAAGGTGAGGGACCTTTTGCTTTCTCTTCTAAGTAGCTGCAGAGAAAAACTGATATTTAAACCTAATACAAAGAGGCACCAAGCAGAATGACTACTCTGGCTACGTAGTTAGGCAGATATTCAATAGGTAGAAAGGTGGGAGTAGAGCCGGGCAGTGGTGGCACACACCTTTAATCTCAGCACTTGGGAGGCAGAGGCAGGCAGATCTCTGTGAGTTCAAGGCCAACCTGGTCTCCAAGAGCTAGTTCCAGAAAGGTAGGTGGATTGGTAGGCAAAGATATAAAGATGATACACAGACAGACAGACAGATGATAAATGATAGGTAAGTAGGTGTGGTTGGGTGAATAGATAGATGGTAGATAGAAAAATGATAAGTAGGCAGATATAGATAGATAGATAGACAGACAGACAGATAGATGTTTTCCTAGCTATAAAGAAGACAACAAAATGTATATAGACTGTCAATTTAGAGGCTGATTTTAATGTTAAGATATACCTACATACATGCATACATGCATACATATACACACATACACACGCAGACATATGTATGGATCTCTGTTTACTACTTGAAAGTTATATGATTTGGGGGCAATTACCAAAGCTCTGTTGGGCCTAAATGTTCCTCTCAGAAAAAATAGAGAAAATGCTGAATTGACAGGGTATGTAGTAATCCTAGTCTAGATGTGTCCAAACTTTCGATGTTAAGACACAATGTATGTAGTCTAAAATGTTTTGAGCCACATACATCACTATACTGGGATGTATGCAGCCCATGGGCTGCAACTTGGATATCCTTGAAGCGATTTACATAATGCCTAGAATGTAGGATACACCCCATGATTCTAGATAGCATTATTTTGGTAGCACATGTTTGAAAGCAGTTTTTCTTTTTTTAAACTGGATTTGTGATCTTGAATGGACATTCACTTTCCTTGGGTCTCCTGAAGTAAAATGAATGGGCAGTAGTTTTGATGAACTAGGACTTCTGAAATTTCAGCGTGTCTAGGATTCCCAAGAGTCCTGTTAAAATATAGGGTCTAGCTCTAGAGGCGATAGCATGATGTCTGATGATTCATTTGCTGTTGCCATGGGCTTACTTGTAGTGCTTGATGAAAACATGCCTTAACTAGGACTTGAGAGGAAATGAAAGCTAGGTCTCGCTCCCTTTTCCTGCTTTCTTCTTTCTTCCATATCGTCTTTCTTCGAATTGTAAGGACCACATGGCAATGTCTTATTGCTTAGATGAGCTGTCTGATTGACACTAATTGGCCACAGCTATGAGGACTTCCATCAAGCCTAGACTGGGGTCATTGATCAGTCCTGATGACCTGAGCCTGTTCACCGACTATTTCTGAGTTAAGTGTTCTGTTCACTAACCATGGATCAAGCTGGCACATCAGCAAACTCTGCTGATTTCTCACCATCCCTCAGATGGCCTGCATTATGTAAGCCAGGTCCTTTCTGCACTTGTATTTCCCAAGGCTGGCCATGGCAGCATTGAAACACTACTCTTTGCCCTACTTTTCATGCAAATTGCCAAAGAGTAGCACTGTCCATGACTCCTGGTGACTGTGCATCCTTTTTTCAGGAGCATTTTGTTTCACTCATACCTGCTGGTCATTTTGTAAGAAGTTTGTTACCTGAAATGCTATGCTTTCAAACTTTGTTTTCCTTTAGTTTTGAGGAAATATTAAGGGTATAGTTCAATTAGACAATTTCCAGATAGGACAGGATAAAGTAATAATTATATATTTCCATACCTTAATCTTCTCATGGTGCTAGAACATGTCCTTCAGCTGTCCCTTTAGTCTAGGAACTGAATTAGAAGCAGTATAGTTCATAGTTTCTGATGATGGAAGATGAAGGAAGGTCCTCAGCTGGGGAGTATACTGCCCCATGGACAATACATGGCCAGCTGGAGAAGTCAGATGTGTGTTCTGTGGAGATCTAGTGGGTAGTGACCTGGTACTGCTCAGTTTCCCACAAGAGGAAACCCAGTGATTCACAAGGAATCACCAGACCCAGGACCTTACGTACTACCGTGCCTAAAGCTTGTTCTAAATATTTTCTAAAATACCAGTAAAATGGTGAGAACAGTGGGAAACAAGAGCTTCCACAGGTGAGAGGATGTCAACTCCACCGGCTGCCTTCACTGTAGGACGAGGGAAGGCTCATCCTCTGCTTCCTGGGCCCTGCAATCTCATTAATAAACACAAGCACCTAGAACATTCCGTCACTGTCAGTCACTGCTACTTGCTCATCTGTTGCCACAAGTTATTTATCTGTAGTTTCTATCTTACTGCTCTGTGAAATCAGGAGGTGGCACTGGCTGACACCATAAGGTTCATTCCCTTTCCTGACAGCATGGAAGTCATGAGTTACCTGTAGCCTTGGACTTGGGAAAACTCACTCCACCTTTCACGTTTTTACTGCCTGTGTATAGCAAAGTCACTGCATCTGAAGGAGGCGATCTTAACAGCTTAAAGGAATCTGTTTTTAGAATGCTTTGAGCATTAGTTCTCTGTTTCCGGAGACGTGGTATGGTGTATTCTCTTTCTAGTTAGTTTTCTATTTACCTGTTGCTTTGGTCTATCTCTTCTGCTTCTCTCTGAAAAATACTTTATGACCGTTACCAGCCTTCAGGCCTCAGCTGCGATGCCACTTTCTGCCATCTTTAATTGCTTCAGCAAAGCCACCTACCTTCACTGGCTACCCTCCTGTGCATTCTTCCCTGCTTTATATCTGTTTCCACTCGTCTATGTTGGCGAACGCCATATGTTTATTTATATATCTGCACACTCTGGTTTTGTTGTGATGCTGAGACAGGGCTCACCTTTGCCCAGACTGGCTTAGAACTTGTTATCTAGACCAGGGTGGCTTCAAATGTGTGTCAGTCTCCAGCCTCAACTTCCCAAATGCTAAATACACTTTACAAAGTCCTTCTATTTCATTTCACTCAAACTTCCACAAAGGAAAAGACAAGTTTACTTTATCAGTCATAATCTTCCTCAATTGTGCCCTGATTGTTCTGTGGGTAGATATAAGGCTGCCCCCTCAAGGTGTATAGCTGTTAACAATCTCTGCATAGCCAGAGCAGCTACCTTGCCGCCAGCGCTCTGTACACACATACATTCCCTGTTCTGACTTGGCCTCAGTCTGTTTATTGCTACATGTGTGTTGTGGTGAAGGTGAGCTCCTGTCTGTCAGGGTAGGACACGGTTTTCCCTAGACCATATCACAACTCCTCCTATACAAGTCTTTGCTTTTACAACAACCTCTGATGCCATATGGGAAGCCAATCTAGTTACAAAGAAGTTCCATCTGGGAGGCCCTCAGGCTGGTCCAAGAACCAGATGCGGTCAGGAGCTCTTAGAAGGTTCTGCTTAATTCCAAGAAGGAGTGAAAAGGGCTGCTGTGTTTTGGAAATGATTTGTCCCTCACATCTAGTTAGTTGGAAGCTATGTCCCTAGTGTGGCTGTGTTGGAAGCTGTTGCAATCAGTAAGGATGGGACCGATGGGAAGTGACTAAGCCTTTAAGAGGAATTCATGGTTTGAACAGGTTTTGGGAAGAGAGCTCACTAGCTGAGGGAGGTGCTGCAGGTCTGTTCCCAGCACTGGGGAGCGTAGTCAGCCAACGTAGAAGTGTGGACACGGATTGTTTAGTGAGACAGAGAGATGGGTGTCGGCATCCCTTGGATGTCTCTATTTTCCTGTCTCCTGTGCTTACTCCTGTGTGTATTCCTACCTGGGTGAAGCCATGTGCCAAAAGACCTCACTAAATCTTAAGAAATGCTACAAGTAAGCAAGAAAACAAACAAACAAACAACAACAGAAACCCAGAACCAACCAACCAACAACAAAACAAACAAAACGAAAAGCCCTGTTGTCTCTATGAAGTCCTCATCCTCGGGTATTTCCTCTCATAACTTTCACCTTTGCTGTTTTTCAAACACCACGATTTTTCTCCCCCTTCCCACCCCCAGACACAACCATACTGTGAGCCAGGCACTGGACAGCATCACTGCCTGTAAGGCAAAGTTATTTCCCCCTCACTCCCGCTGAAACACCTAGAAAAACTAAGGAATACCCCAAGTCACATGAGACACACCTGGTGACTGCAGATCCTAGCCAGCACACCAAGGGCACTTCACTAAATCTGCGACTTGTGGACACTCAGGCCTGGTTATACTCGCTCTAGATGCGAGCCCTTGCCCCCAAGTGCACTCTTTCTGGTTCCCCAAAAATACGTTCTGCAGCTATTTGAAGCTGCTCTGTGCTAATGCTTCTCACAATGGAGTGCAGTGGGTTTTGTTGGGAAGGACAACTACAGCCCAGGAAAGTAGATTTCAGCAAATCCCATATTGCCCCCAGTTAGGAATCTCATTCAAAATGCTGAAAGCAAGTAAAATCGAATTTATGAGCATCATTCCTGATATGGCTCATTCAGGGATTTTAAGGATTTGAGCACAGCCCATAATCATAAGAATCATATTCTACTTGTTGTAGCTAGAGAATCAGCTTGTTCTGTGAAAATGAGTAAGAACTGCTTCATTCCCTTCTAAGAAAAGATGGACGTTTCCTCTGAATATTTAAATATGATTTTTCTATTTTTGCATTTTGTGTTAGTCCTTTTCTCATTGCTGTAGCACACTACCTGAGGCTGGGTAACTTGCACGAAAATGATGCTTGTTGAGCTTAACTTTGGAAGTGAGCTCTTTTGATCTGGTCTCTGGTGGGTCCCCTTGGGTTTAGTACATGATTTGAGATGGTATCAATATGGGGTAAATGGAAAAGAGAGAAATCATACAGGAAACAGAACCCAGAGGCAATCTTTCTTGCTCCCCCCCATAACAATTTGGTCTTGGGAAAACTAACTCAGGATCTTACCAGAAGTGAATTAATCCCTTTGCAGACCATGCCCTAATGACCTGAAACTGACAAGAGAACCCATTAACAATACTGCTATTTAGTTCCTCTTAAAACTAACTTTCAAACAGCTAAAAATGAAGGTTTAACTTAAAACATATTGGTATTTTAAAGCAACAAAACAGGTTTTAATTTAAAAACATCTTGGTATTCTTACCGTACTTTCTCCACTCGCTGCCAGTGATACACTTTAATCCACCAGAACCTTCTTTTCAGTTTTGTATTCTTTGTCAGTTGAATAAACGCACATGATGTATTTTGGTTATCTTCACCTCCATTTCCCTCCGTCAGCTTCTTCCTGCTGCCTCTGAACCTCTTCTTCTATCCCTTCTCCCACGTTCACGCCTTTCGTTTTCTTTTGTGACCCACGGAGTTCAATTGGGATTGCTTGCATGAATGTGCGTGTGTGGAGTTGTTTTCTGGAGTACGGCAACTGGCCGGTGGCTACCCCAGTAATGATCGCCTACCAGTTGCTCCATAATGGCAGGGTGAGGGAACTATCTTAGCACCTTCGTTTTTGCACAGACCATTAGTGCATGGTTGGCTCACTGCAGCTGCAACGTGACCCTGTAATTAATGGCTGCCTAAGGCAACAGTGGTTTTGAATTTTGACTGGAGGACTTCAAGTTTGTAATGCTAGATGATATTCTAGAGAAATTCCACCTGGCTTCCAATATTTTATTTACAATAACTGTAAAGAATGAACTGAAGTCAGCAGGTGTTATTTGAGCACCCTCTAAATGTTCACAATTATTCTCGTTCCTCAAGAAGTATCATTAATGTAATTGATATATATATAATCACTAATCATTTATTCAAGTGCTGTATTTTAAATAATGCATATTATTATATATAATTATTGTATACTATTTATACTTTGTTAACAGAATAACTCAAATTTGATATATGGCCAGCAATTCTACTCCTAAGCATGTGCCAAAGACAATATGAGTGCAGGCATCCATATAATTGTTTAAGAATGTAAATAGCTTATTTATTTGTAATAGCCCCAAGCTGGAAAACGCCAAGAATTCATCAACTAGAAATTGAATAGACAAATTGTGGTTTTGTTATATGGTGGAATATGGAACAGAAATTTAAAGTAGAATTTTCAAATCCGCACAATTAAGTGGATCTACCTAAAAAAAGTTATGTTAAATGAAAGACAGTACATATAAAAAGTAACATATTTTTTGGTGATGTTTACATGAAGTTTAAGATCTGGTGACCTCTCAGTAAGCACAGAAGCCATGAGTGGTCACCTCTAGAAATGCCATGAATGGCATGAAAAGGAGAGATTTTCCATATTGCTGGGACTATTCTCTGTGTGGTCCTGGCTGTTGATTAGACATAGGCATGGAGATATGAAAATCCACTGAACTGAATACTAGGATTCATCTATTTTGTCACATGTCTGCCTCAGACCACTCAAACTCATGTTGCTTGGAGGCTAAACTTCTGCTTTCCCTACATCTGCCTTGGCATACCCCAGTCTGTCTATTTTCACTGTATTTGAGAAGAGATGATTTACAATTCAGTGGAGTTTGGCCTGGTGGCAGGTATATTAAGGTAACACTATACACCTCAAAAGCATTCAATAAACTTCCATGTTTCAGTAACTACCACAAAAGAAGCTAATCATTCAATCAATGGAAAAGTTCAGTTAGAAAAGGCTGTTTTGGAAACCTCCATGGTGAGTGAAGGACCCAGGCTCCTTCCAGCTGTAGCTTATTAGTAGTATATAGGAGAGGGAAGATGAGGGGAGGGGCTCCATCTGTGTGGCTAAGGGAAATTCCTCATCCTTGCTGGATAAAGACTCTTCTGGTACTGTATTATGCAGGAGGAGCATCTACTCCTTTGTAAGTGACCCCTCATCATGCTTTTTAAGGAAGCCAGTAAAGTCATCAATTCCCCAGAACTGGTAGAATCATGCTTCTGGTTGTCACTGGGACCTGAGGAGGAGGGTGGGTGTTTACAACTCCTCCAAGGGAAGGAACTTTGGCTAGAGGGTCCAGTCCTTCTCCAGGGACAGCTTCATGAATATGTAATCTGCATAGCTACACTGGCACAAAGCTTAGTGGTTCTCAACCTGTAGGTGGTGTCCCCACAGAGGTTGCATATCAGAGAACCTGCATACCAGATATTTACATTATGATTCACAACAGTAGCAAAATGAAAATTGTGAAGTAGCAATGAAAACAATTTTATGGCTGGGGCTCAACACACATGAGGAACTACATTAAAGGGTCACAGCATTAGGAAGGTTGAGAACCAGGGCTTTGGAGACGAGCACTTAGCTGCCTGTTCTGCTATCATCAAATTGACACCACTACTGATTTCATCTTTGAACTTGTGTTTTATAAGGGAAATCTTCTAGGACAAGGGACACGCACATGCACACAGGAAATACAGAAGATATGTCTACACTTTTCAATGCTCTTTCGAATGTTGGTGTCCCGTGAACAGGGAAAATGTGTGGACTTGAGCAAAATCCAGAGACATATGAGGGAAGCATGTTCCATTGACAACTGAGGAAGAAGGACATAGCCAACCCAAGAGGCCATGATCTCCACTCAACCAGAACGTGCTTTGAACCTAGTTAACAGCGTCCAAGGGTGCCTTCGTGTACTTTCTTACTTGTGGTTACCTCCCAGAATTCATTAACTGGTGGCCTGAAAATGAAGACACAAAGGGAAGTGCCTTTGAGGTCTCCTTAACACAGCACTGTGCCAAAGGTCCGGCGCTGGCTTGCAAAATGAGCACATATCAAGAAGAGAAATAGAGGGTGCTTTTTCTGTTTCCACTCTTTCAGTAATGCCAAAACACATACATATATGTGAGCTGCAAAACATGGGCAGTACACTATCACATATAAGTTAAAACCTCTTGGAACTACATGGCAAACTGGCGGTGCACAATAGATCAATTGTGAAGATGTGATAATAATTTGAGGCATTTGTTTTCCTTTACTTAGAATATTAAGTAACACATTAAAATGCCACGACGGCTCCAAAGACAGAAAGCAGAATGACAAAGCTTTTTGTTTTGTTCCACCTTGACAGTTTTTCCTGATTTCATTTTGTACCGGGATTAACTAGCAAATAACACAACCGTCTCTCTCTGTATTCCAGCAACAGTTCCATTCAGCTACCTTTGAGGCCAGTCTATCGGACCCTTCCTCTACTGGGCTCTGTTGGCTTCCTGGTCTTATCTCACCTGGCAGCTTATAGCTCTGCATCCGTGGAGTCAATCAGCCACAGGTGAAGATACTTGAAAAACCTGCATGTGGACTGAGCATGCGCAGACCTTCTTTCCTTGTTAATCCTTTAATACAGTATGATACCTATTTGCATAGCATTTAATCTACAGGTGAGTTTCGTGTCAAAGAGGGGAAGTGTTGGTTACATGCAAACACTACACTCATGGAGCTGGGCCATCTGCAGATCCAGATAGCTGTGGAGGGACTCTGAAATGGTGTCCTGGGGAATGCTTAAGGATGATGACACTGTTTTGTTACTCATGGGACTGCCACCATCAGTTTTGAAACTGTCCCCTTCCCCAAAAGGTCTGTCATGAAAGGCTAGGGGTAGACTTCACAATTTTAGCCAGCTTCAACAGACCAGAACACCTGGGCCTTCATAGAAAGTAGCAGCGAACGTAGAGACTAGGTCACGAGGCAAAAGAGCCAGCTCCAGCAATGGCTGTTAGCTAAATGAAATGGTTTAATATTCTACCCCCACAGAAAACCTGTTCATACTTTGTGAACCTCCAAGAACTCCCTCTGTGAATTCTTTGAGGCTGCTGCCACCCCATACCTCTCCAATTCCGCCTGGCAATTCCTTGCCATGATCATCATCTTTAATATTTGGTCAGTTCTACCTTAAGCTTTATTTCTGCAACTGGTCTCTGGTAACATCTCACACACACAATAGGCAGGAAAAATGATACCTTCACATCAAGCTAAAAATTTAAGCAATGTTCACAAACAGGAATTAAGAGAGACTGGTTTAAAAATCGGTGAGTAAAACTTGACATGTAACACAATAAACATCTACAATGAACTGCATTTCACCATGTTAAATAAAGACACATTCAAACTGCAGGCTGGCTGCACTGCGGCCCAAGCCCACTCTTTTGGTCTGGGTGTTTCTTGCCCAGAAGCTCTGCAGGGACAAACAGATTGCCTCATTGGCTGGAGTCATCAACTTGAAATTCATAGAGTGGTCACAAGTGAACTATGATGATGGGTTCTGGAAACCTTTGCTCCTAGGTTAGAGTAACTTCTGCTCTCCTGACAGTTTCCATGACTCTGTGCTGTCCCACTGCGTATCAGACTCTGATGGTGACTCATCTTGCCACCACCTGACTGTCTTCATACCTGTTCAAATGGAATCCTACCAAATCTCCTTGTTTGTCACGATTACATCGCTACAGCCAGTCTTGTGAATTGTTGTGTCATGTGACTTGTTTAATACTTTAGTTGACTCTTTATTTCAGAATTTTCCAAACAAAATGAGATCAAGAAGACAGAGCCATCTGAACAATGAAAGAGAACATGTTTTTGTTTTGTTTGTTTCTATGGGGGCATTACAGTTCATTCTCAGTATGTGGCTTTCTTGAGAAAGAATTTAAGGGAAAAGAAAATAACTCCAAGTTAAACGTAAGAAAAGAAGCAGTTAAACATCCCAGGGCCCAGGGCTCCTCAGCGCCTCTTGATTTGTTGTTCGCCTACACTACCACAAGGCTTGCCCCACTAGAAGATTTGGGCCCAGCTGTAAACTGCCCTTACTTACCTGCGCCTGACTTTTCCTCGCGGCCACCAGGGGGCTGTCTGGGTGGAACTGGGTTGGAGACTTTGCAGCTTTCCCCCAAACCAACCAAAACATCCCAAGGCAGCTTTGGAGCAAAGCCCAGGAACTCGCCTGCAAAAACAACCCTCACTCTAGAGCCCACAAGTTCTTAGCGCGGCTTCATTCGGGACGAAGAATAAAACACAGATTTCTTGCGAGGAACTCAAACAGCAGGCTGCTGGAAAAGGCAACGTCTTCACCCAAGAGCTGCGGTGTGAAGCTCTCTCTCCTCAATCCTGCAAGATTCTTTTTGTCCGAGCAGGGGACAGTTTCAGAATCTCGGCAGTTGCCAGTGCAGTGGCCAGAGGTGCCGGCCTCTCAACCTTCGCCTTTCCTGTGGATGGCCAAGAGACACCGGAACAAAACCCTGATCACCCGTGGGAAAACCAGAAAACTCTTTAAAATAGTCTAGACATTATTCCCTCCGTTCAGTTACAAGTCAGGCAGGCTCAGGGCACTGCCCTGTGTTACATGAGTATGTATATTGAAGAAGGAATTTCAAGGTATTTTTTAACACTGTGCATAAAAACATAATTATATTGTCCTCAAAGTAGTTTGGTCACAACTGTAACTTCCCAATGACTGCATGTTCTCAAGAGTACTCGGCATTTTTCCAACACAACCTACCTTTCAGACGCAGCCAGGAGACCGCCTGGGTCATCTGGAGCAGAACAGCAGTCTCCCTCTGTGTTTTCTCCTAACCTGAGTGCTCGGCCTTCCGGACTTGAGGTATGGACATTTGGAGTTGTGTGCTTGCTAGGACAGAACTCTTTCAAGGGTAGAGATTATTTTTGTCTTCCGGTTTTATTTGTGTATTTCCAAGACAGAGGCAAAATAGCGAGGCGTCCCTTTAAACCCTACTTGTGCAACCAACCCACCAGCCACACACTTCAGGAAGAGAATAAAGGGGTGTGAGAACGGGGACACATCTCGTTTAGGGCAAGCGAGACACTGTCCAGTGGTGTGGGGACTGCATAGCGTCCAGAGCCCCAGGAGGATCTCAGCGCCCCGTGGTCCCACGCGCTCTACAAGTGGTTTGGGGGTGGAAGGCGGAGCGCCTCGACACCTGCCTCGCTGTCAGGCAGACCCAGAAGGGTTGTGCTCCTGGAGGTCCCCCCCTAGCTCCCTCCACCCACCCACCCACCCACACACATTCCTGCCTCTTCAACTACAGGAATGACCGCCCAACTCCAGCCTCCACGCGCTAGCAGTCGGGTGGGTGGGCGCGCGGCCACCAAACCCGCAGCTACTTGACCCCAAGGAGGGCGGCGCACAAGGCGCTGTACCGCGGGGTCGCAGAGGGGGGACGCCCGCACCTAAGCGGCAGGTGCACAGACAGCAGCACCGGGCACCCGAGTGGTGGACTGCTCGGGCTCAGGCCGTGACGGGGTGCGCGGCAGGGAGGCCATTTCGTCGCTGAGCTCCTGGTGGAGCAGGGGTAGCCTGAGCCTGCTGCGGCTGCCGCGCGAGTCAGATCCCCTGGAGGACCAGAGGGGACGAACTGTCAGCGGTTCTCCTGCCGGTGTGGAGCTGGCGCCCTAGTCCCGAGTAAGGCTGAGCTCCTGGACCCCGGCAGGCGGGGCCCGGGGTCCTGCACCTCGCCACCTTAGCAGATCACAGCGGTGTGGTTGCCAGTGTCCTGGGACCCGCGCCGCGCCCCTCGGTGCGGAAGGATAGTTGACAGGTCAAGGGAATCGAGCTCGCCCGGTGGCCCGCGCAGCACGGGACCCCACGGCGGAGGGGGCGGAGCGGGGAGGAGACTGCGGCTCGGCCGAGCACAGCGCAGCCTCGGGCGGGCGGGCGGCCGGCGTGACGCGGCGGGATTAACTTTGCATGGCTAATTCGAGCACCACCGCGGAGGCCACCGACTGCTCGGCCGCAGCTCGCCCGCACGCCGCCTCGGGGCGCCACCGCGAGGCTCCAACGCTCCGGTAACGTGGTGCGGCGGGGGCGCAGGGTGGGCGGGGGGCGACAAGTCCTACGAGCCGGGCACGAATGGCAGGCGCCGCGCGGTGTCCCTGCCGCGGGGCCTCTGCGCCCCGGTTCCTCTCGGGCTCGGGCACACGGGTGCAGGAAGCTGAAGTCCGAACCCAGCTGGGGACAGGCTTCTGGTGAAATGGAGTTTGGCATCCTGGGCGCTGAACCCAGTGGAAGTTTCCATGAGGAGGAAGTTGTAGGACATGGGGGTTCGGAAGAGGCTGACAGGCGCGGGGGTGGGCTATTTAAAGGGACTGTGAGTCTCCCGTCCTCCTCTTTTTGCTCCTGCCCCGGAACTCGAGGGTTTGGAAAGGAGAAAGCTCCCCATGTTAGCAGGCGCTGGCCAGTGCCTGGCGATTCTGCTTCTCACCGCCTCCGCGGGCTCGCTCGCTCCAGAGTCGCTCTTTGGCTTTGCTTCTCTTGACGCAGCATCTTTTGGGGTCGCTTGGGTTGGTGGTGATCCAGGTAGCGTCAGCCCTGCGCCCCAAGGTCGGGGTTGCGGAAGGCGTCTTTGAAGTTTCAGTTGCTTACTGTCAGTTGTCATTTTGCAAGAAGGTTTCCCGTGACCACAGTGGGATTATTATCCAAGCTAATTCTTAAAGCCTTCTAGTTTGTTTTTAAGGGGGAGGGTTGTATTTGTGGATTATTTTTTAATTTTAAAGACTAAACTATAATTTGCCCCAAATGGGACATTTTCAAAGGGACAGTTAAGCATTCCTAAAGTGAGTTGAATTTAAAAAGGATCACCTGGGCAGGCAGGTTCAGTCTCCCAAACCGCCACTTTCACGTGCTTGGAACGCAAAGAGCAAAGACTCTGCTGAATCAGAAAACAACGTTGACTAAATTCCCCTAGGTTGATCCTAGGTACTAGAGACCAGTGTTAAAGACCTGTTGTGGAACTGAACATATGAAGCATTCCTCGTTCAATGCATGAATAGGAGAATACGACAATCGTGTTAATGATGAATGTATTAAGTACCGTAGATCTGTTGGGAAGAGTCTTCATACGACTTGGCACCAGCTTAGCTTGTTTACTGACACTGTATGAAACGTTGTTCCACTGTATTGCAAAGGAATAAAAATTTCTTTTTGGTAAAAAATGTTCCATGATTCATTCTGAATATTCTGGATGACTGATCTCCCTAATTCACTTCAGCTTGTTATTTCCTCGTTCTGAAAGAAGTCATACGCTGGGAACCATTAATGAAAAAGGTGTTTGCGTCGGAAGCATTTTGAACAGTATCAGACTTTAAGGTGTTTTCATGCTGATTGGTTGTGCTTCGGTTGACCCTCGCAGAAATTAAGTAAAAAGTGCTTTCCTTGAGGCGTTTTTATGGGAAGAGATTGGTGGAGAGAAATCTATGTTTGTGCATGTTAAATAGATACTATTAGAATCCTATTTTAAAATAAATTTCAAGGTTTATTATATACTGCAAGTGGGAAATCGGCTTTATTTTCTGAGTAAAAGTAAGTGATACTGAGTATAGCTCCACAATTGTTCTTGGCTTTGAAAATGAAACAATTCTTGTTGGCATTACAATGCAAAAGCATAATCTCATTGACATGGGAGTATTGCTATATAAAGTAACTGGCTTTAAGAGGGGAATAAATACTCCAGCTCTCCCCTTCCAGCTTCTTTGTGGTAAATTCTGCTGTAACAAGAGATGAGCTGCAACCTCCCTGTGATCCAGCACCTCTGGTAAAGGGTGATTTGTTAAGCTCTCCTCAGGAAGAGAAAGCTGAGGCCCGTCTGCATCCCTGTCTGTAGATGCTGGAGGCTGATGGTTTCTTTAGCATCTTGCTCCAGTGTAAGTCCCATGCCTCCTTGTTAAACAGCCTTTGCTTGATCAGTGGAGGGGAGTCCATCCTTTGTCCTCTCTCAAAGGCCTCTCTTCAAACCCCATCATACTGCCTATGATCAAAACTGATCTGATACTTGCCAATTTCCTTTTTGAAAACGAATTCTGAATATTCTAGTTGACACTATGGCGTCTAGGAGGACAGTAGTGTTGATTGCTTTATTTACTCTTGGTCTCCCTGAATCTGGAAGAATACTTAGCACATAGTAGGCACTGGGTAAATTGGAACAAATTAGAAGTTGTGCCCAAACATTTTCCTTCATCAAATGCTTGACTAAGTACTTCAACCATTGCCATTTTGAACACACACACACACACACACACACACACACACACACACACACACACGACTAAGGCTTGGTCTTTGCATCTGTCTCTCACTCCCTGTTGCTTTCCATCTGGCTGGTCTGACTTTCTGTGTAGTTAATTCTCCAAGTTGCTCCTGGCAGCCTTGGCTGTGCAGAAATACTCAACAGTGTTTTGCCTTCCATGTCCCCAGTCCCCTTGATTCCTGAAGATAAGACCTTTAACTCCCGAGTTTCAGCAGACTCTTCCTCTACCTAGAGGCATTGCCAGGACAATGAAGCAGTGTCAGAAGCATGAAGGTACAGACCCTGGACATCACTAGTCAGGTGGAAGGCAGGTCTTGGCAAGGCCTGCTTTGGCAGCTCAGAGGGACCAAGGGCTTTCAGTGGTAGTGTCTAGGCCACAAAAATGGTGGTGGGGGAGAGGAACTCAGGCTTGCTGGGTGTAACACAGCCGTAGGAAAGTCCTGGGTGACAGATTTAGGAATAACCTACTCGTTACTATGTGCTGTTAGCCAACCGGCCTTCTCCTGTGTCTCCTGTTTTCCTCTCTTTAACAACGTAGTCTCATCCAGATGACTTGGAGGAATATGCAGCTATCTGAGTTTTCCCATGATCAGAGTATGGTACCTAAAGTGTCCTCTAAAAGCTATTATTCCTGGCAATTCTTGCCAATTCAGAACATGGGGAAACTGCAGTTGATAATCATGGTAGTTTGTTTTTTATAGAGAACCAAGTTTTAGAATGTATCTGATGAAATACTTAATAAAGGCCTGCAAAGCAGGCTGAAGGGATGGCCCAGCAATTGAGAGTGCTCAATGACGTCACAAAAGACCCAAGGTTAGTTCCCAGCACCCATGTCAGGCAATTCACATCTGCCTGTAACTCCATCTCTAGGGGATCTGATGCCCTCTTCTGGACTCATTGGACATCTGTACTTGGATATTCATAGCTTATCATCATACATGTATTGTAAAAAAATAGTGAAAATAACTCTAGCTAAAAAAATTTCCTACAGAATAATTAATGTTGGTATTGTTAATAGTGGGGGCGGGAAGTAAGGATCAATGTTTTGGGTAATGAGGAAGATGATTACACCAAAATCCAAAAGACTTACTGTTTTAGCATATTTAACTTAGTGCCTAACTTTGTGGTAGCTAATTTAACAACAACAATGAAAAGGGGGTGTCTATCTGGAATTGATATTCAAGAGTACATGGCAACTATTACGAGGTTACATCAAACACAATGGGCAATACTTCAGAGCCACAGAAAATGAAGTAGCATTCTTTATATGGCCATGTGTTTGGCCAAATCTCAGTAGGAGAAAAGTGCAGAGGGCACAATGGAGAAAAGAATTGCCAGTGTAAATTTCTCTATGTGACTAAGATGCTGTGGTCCAGTGGCATAGGTTCTGCCATAGCCTCATGAATCTAAAAGGAGCTCAGAAAAACAGCAGAGTGAATGGCTAACAGGTTCACTACATTAACTTTCTCAAAGATCCAGTGTGTTAGCCTGGCTTCTGTCTGGTGCAACTAGAGAGGACAGGAAAGCTGGGTATTTGAAAAGGACCCTATAGCCACAGCCTACCTGAGCAGGGACCCACTAATGCTTTGTCCCCTTCTACTT